ATTGTTGCTTTTATTGATATGATAACAATGTTGTTATGATGAGGAGGAAAATTGTTTATAACCAGATAGGCCTTCATTGGGCGTGTTTTGAGTTAATAATGTTTTTGGGTTGATCTGGATGTTATACTTCGAATTATTTCAATAAAGTAAAGTTTTGATGAGGAACCAGAAGGGCTCTGGTTGGTTATCATGACCAGAAGGCCTCTAGCTGTGAAGGAAAATCCAAGTTTTTCAAATGTTTTCATATTTTGACCCAAAAGGCTTTGTATGTGCTATACAGAGGCTCTGTATCTTTGAATTTAATGACAAGTCCAAGCTTTGTATTCAAGCTTTGTATCTGAGCTTTTTATCTAAACGCATAATCGCTAGTATAATTTTTATAGTTAAAACCTTTTTAACTTGATATTTTCTAACCTTGGTAGAGGACTAGAGAGGCTCTACTTATCTTCCATGTTTAACCAGAGGGCCTCTGGTTATGATTAGAATTTATTTATTTTCAAATATAACTCCTTATTTTTCACAAGCTTTAGTTAAGACGGACCAGAGGTTCTGGTCGTCCAAAGGGCCTCTGGTTGGTCATACATCCTTAGTTGATTTCAAAAGTTTGAGACCAGAAGCTCTGGCTGGTAAGACCAGAGGCTCTGGTCGTCTAGAGGGGCTCTGGTTGGCTTGCCTTCATTCCTTTTACCCTTTTTGTCGATTACCAGAAGCTCTGGTTGGTCATATCATGTGCTAATGTTGCCTCGAGTTGACCCAGATTTCAAGATTAGCCTTTAGTGGTCTTGTTTTAATTTGGCTTTGCTCTGGTTGATGGACCAGATGAGCTCTGGTCCTTAAGGACCAGAGAAGCTCTGGGTGATCTCGCAATGAGTGATGCGAGGAGCTGAGTGGTCACACTCTATACACGGCAAGGAAGATTCATGAATTCATATTTGAACTCGATATTTCCGTTATATTTCATCAAAATTTTATATATTTGTATATTTGCAAATATAATCCTATAACAGACTTTGGTGATTTCACATTGTAATTGCATAAAAAGGGAATTCTCACTAGACCTCAAGGTCTAACCATCATCTTGTGTTTCAAAAATGTGCATTGCAGGTCAGTTAATACCAAGGGATAAGGGAAAGGGGAAATGTGAATTTTCCTTTTATGCTTTCATGGTTCATGAAGAAGAGCTTATTATCTGTTGAGTTTAGCGTACTTGTTTATATGCAAGTTATGCACAAGAATGTTATTTTTGTAATATAGCTTCTTGTATTTGTTGGAACCAAATTAGATGAACTTTTGAGTGATTCATATATGGATCTTGGGGTGTTATAGATATGGAGTGGGAAGAGTTCCAAATTATCTTTTATGAAGATTTGGGGTTGTAAGGTTTACGTACACCGTCTAATCACAACCAAATTAGAGCCAAAATCTAATAAATTCATATTTGTAGGATATCCTAAAGAAACTATGGGATACTACTTCTATCATCCTCACGACAATACATTGATTGTTAGGCGGTTGCTAGTGTTTTTTTGGAAAGGGAATTTATTTCCAAAGGTATTACTGGGAGGAATGTAGAACTTGAAATTGTTCAAGATAAAAATATGTCAACACAGATGGAACCAACACAGACACCACAAGTAGTTGTGGATCCACAAAGTGTTGTGAACGACAATCTAATGTTGTAGCACAAAGTGCCCGTATATTTGGTTATTAAGGTAATGAGCCTGAGAGATATGGATTTCTCATCACTCATGACGGGGATGTGATGCTCATGGATGATAATCCCACTAGTTACCAAGATGTTATGGCAAGCACTGACTCCGAGAAATGGCTCAATGCTATGAGTATATAAATAGACTCCATGTATGAAAACCAAGTTTGAAACTTAGTTGAGCCACCCAATGAGGTACGGCCTATAGGGTGCAAATGGATTTTCAAGTAAAAGACCAACATGGATGGTAATGTGATTAGCTATAAGGCACGATTGGTTGCAAAAGGTTTCAAACAAATTCAAGGTCTTGATTATGATGAAACTTTTTCTCCAGTCGCAATGATTAAGTTTATTAGAATTTCACTAGCCATTGCAGCATCACGATTAGGAGATTTGGCAAATTGATGTCAAAACAACTTTCCTTAATGGAAAGTTACTTGAGGATATATATATATATATATATATATATATATATGATACAACCCGAAAGTGTTGTCACTCCTGAAAAATCTCATAAGGTATGCAAGTAGCAACGTTCTATTTATGAATTGAAGCAAGCATCAAGGAGTTGGAATCATCACTTTGATGAAGCAATCAAAGAGTTTCGTTTCTCAAAAAATGAGGATGAACCTTGCGTCTACAAAAAGGTTAGTGGAAGCACCGTATCATTTCTTTTATTGTACGTAGATGACATACTACTCATTGGAAATGATATTCCGACACTTGAATCTGTAAAGGCTTGATTAGGAAAAAAATCAATGAAAGACTTGGGTGAAGCTGTCGATGTGTTAGGCATTCGGATCTATAGAGATAGATCACGAAAATTACTTGGCTTAAGACAGAGTACATATATAGACGAAGTGTTGAAAAGGTTCAACATGTCTGATAGCAAGAAAGGGTTCTTACCTATGTCTTATGGCATATCACTTTCTAAGACACAGTACCCAACTACAATCTCAAGAGAGTGAAAGAATAAGTAAGATTCCATATGCTTCGGCAATTGCATCTATCATGTATGTCATGATATGTACTTGACCTGATGTATCGTACGCTTTGAGCATGACGAGTAGATATCAATCTAATCCAGATGATGATCACTGGATTGTCGTCAAGAATATCCTAAATTACTTGAGAAGAACAAGGATCCATTCTTGGTATATGGCGGTGAAGAAGAGTTGAGTGTAAAGGGTTACACTGATGCAAACTTCCAAACCGATAAAAATGATTTTCGACCGCAGTCGGGTTTTCTGTGTAACGCCTTCAATGCTGGTGTTGTGAGCTGAAAGAGTTCCAAGCAAGCAATAATAGCTGATTTTACAACAGAAGCTGAGTACATCGTAGCATCAGATGCAACTAAGGAAGTCGTTTGGATTAAGAAATTTATTTCTGAACTTGGAGTTGTTCATAGTAGTGATAGTCCTATAGAGTTGTTATGCGACAACAATGGAGCAATAGCACAAGCCAAGGAAACTAGATCTCACCAAGATCCAAACATATTCTTAGAAGATATCATCTAATTAGAGAGATTATGAAAGAGGCGATGTTAGTATAAGCAGAGTGTCAACTGAAAATAATGTTGTTGATCCACTAACCAAGTCATTAACACAACATAAGCATGAAGGCTACTGTAGATCCATAGGTATACGATGCATGGATGATTGGCTTTAGTACAAGTGGGAGATTGTTAGTGAATGCCCAAAAACCAATCATATGATAATTGTAATTTTGAATTTTGTTTCATGAAATTAATTAATAAATAAGGGATTGCCCATTTTATTATGTTTATATATATATATATATATATATATATATATATTATGTGTTTTAATTATTCATTATAAATAACTTTAGAATAATGTTTCTAAATGTCCCTAGTTAAATATTATTTCGGGTTTAAGTAATATGATAATAACGAACATATATAAGGATTCATATAGCGATATTGAATCTTCATATGGGTACAAGATGGAGATTTTGTGTACCGGACGTGGCTCGCTATGAGAACACTGCACTGTATGTCATGTAAGTGTCATAAATGTTTCTCATGTGGTCAATGTACATGTAACTCTTTGACTTGAGAACATGGAGTTTGTTGTGTGTGAGTGACATATTTTGACATTTATTCTAATCATTCTATAACTGGGTGACAGAATAATTGTTGGGTATTTTATATATCACATGGAAAGACTAGCATGTATCGAGATAAAATTTGTCTCTCCTTTATGACAGGAGTGATGTTTCTGGGCCTGTTGATAAATATATACTAAGGAAATGCATGCATACTTAGATAATTGATATGAGATATAATGATTTGTTTTATCAGTATATGAGGGAATCAAGAAAATAGAGATTGGACATAACAAGAATGACACATTCAATGTCTCATGTTCAATTTGGACATCAAGGACAAAATTATAAAATGGCGTAAACTATAATTGAGTACAAACCGATAATTTATTGTATCACATATTCTCGTTATTTGGGTGGCAATTATGTATTGCTAGATAACGCTCATCGTTTATAAATATAAATACGAGATTGATATTTATTACTAACATGTCAAGAATCCATTGGGTCTCACACTTTTAACATATCTAAATAAGGAGTTTAAATAATTAAAATGTTTAATTATTATATCTTATTTGTATTGATTTAATATGATAATAAAAATCAGGTATTATTTTATGTTGGACATAATGTAGGTTGGCAAGGGATGGTCTTAAAAGGAGAGGGATGGTGTTTGGAAAGTCTTACACTCAAGTAAGGTGTAGGGATGATGGTGATTTTAGGTCATATATCTCATAACTATAAAATGTATTACATTTTATGCAATTCTTGCTCTCGAAATTTTCTCTCTAAAATCACCTACAACATATGCTCCATTTTCTTTCTAAGTTTTGAAACTGTGATTAGCATCACGAAAGACAAAAAATTCAGATTGTTCACGTGGATATTGTGGAGGCTGTTTGTTGCTTAGATTCAAAGTCTCTTTAATTGTGAAGTATAATTTCGAAACACCCGATTTATTCCGGTTCGCATGGGTCTTTGGAGGGTAATAGATTTATTTTCCGTTGTGCTTGAGACTAGTGATGGCCAAACATGCCCGGCCCGGGACCGGTAAGGACCGGTTATAGGACCGCCGACCAAGACCAGTTACATATTTTGAGCGATTTGAGGGACCGGACCGACAGGGACCGGGACCGGGACCGGGACCGGGACCGGGACCGATTATGGGCTCGGCCGGGCCCGGTGTAACACCCCGCATCATACATTGCATGTAACACATACTTTCATTCACAAAAAAAAATATACATGTATTATACCACCTTAGGTCCCAAAGTACAAAAAATTATCGTACAAAAATACATAGCCCAAAAATTCCAAATACAAGTTCTTGTACTTATCAACATTATCTACCAAAACTAGGTTCATCATAACTGATCTTCACATAGATATGTATATAAGAAAATATCACATTTTCTCATTTCACTTACCATCAGCAGTTCCTGCAATACATATTTAAAAATACAAAATGAGAGTTAGACCAAAAGATGTAGTGAGATCCCTTATTACATGTAATTGCAGGGTGAAGATCACCAAAACTTTTTTTAAAATCAACTTTTCACGTAAACAAATACATAATCATGTAATCCATATTTATCAGTACCTTTCCAATTCCCAAATCCAATCACTTGACTTTATAAAATAACATATCAAGCCAAAAAGGCTAGAACCTTTTAGGTTTCACATAACACATCTCTTAAACCTTTTTATCAGAAACAATGTTTATTCAAAGTCTCTGGCCAAAAGCCAATTATTCCTCAATAACATCTTCACTACAATAAGAACCATGATCCTGAATCTCTAAGTCACAAAGAAATAAGGACTCAAAACCATCGTACACTTAAAGGATATAATAGTAAGAGTTATATCATTAAACACACACATACAAATGTCATCCTTATATCCAAAGGTACATATCTCCTTGATATGTCACCTTTATTTCCTCATCAAAATTTACAGATTAATTCCAATCAGTATAGACTGAAGTCACAAATGTCCAGATGGAATATCATCTATAGTTTTAACCAGAAACAATTTCCAATCAGACATTGTATTCTTTCTTCCATTATCATCTTTAGAAAAAAAAATGTTATTAACATAAATCAATTTTAAAAGAATGATTTATAACTTATCCGATCACCCAAAAATATACCAGCCAGATTTCAAATCCGGTCAACTCTAAAGTCCGGTCAAACCTTGGCCAGATTACTCATCCGGACAACAATATCATTATAATTCAAACACATTAAATCCGGTCAAGCTTTTAAATAAATTCAAAGCAAAAACTTTAATCCGGTTAATACTCGACCTGACTTGCTCTACTCCGGTCAACACTATGACCGTATAACTCCAATCCGGACAACCCCACAACCGAACTAAGTCATATCCGGACAACACTTCAGCCGGATTAAGACAAGCCCGGACGGCACTATGACCGTATTCCTACTTCTCCGGTCAAAACCATGACCGGATTCACAATTCAAAAATCTTTCTAACACCCAATCCGGTCAATACTATGACCGGATATCCCCAATCTGGACAACACAATGTCCGATATTAAACCAAAATCCAGTCAACATGTATTTTCAAGATTCAAAACAGAATTTAATCTAATAAAGATGAAATTCATATGTTTCACAATGTAAAAACCACTCATCTTATGCAATCTTTGAAAACAAGATTACTTACTTTTCAACTTCAGTTTCCAAATCAGAACAAGCAATCCGAACAGGCTTCTCTCTCTCTCAATTCTTTCTCAGGTTTCAAAATGGCAAAGAGATTTACTTGTAAACCTCTTCACATATTTATACCCTTTATAATTATGGAAAGGAGACAACATGCACATGAAGGTTTATCCCATAAACAAAACCCATGGATGCATACTAATTCATGTATATGATTATACTTACATATATACAACCTCATGCATGCATTCACATTATGTGTATATATCTCTTATGCATAAAAAATACACATTTTCACATAATCAAATATAACAATTCATCATGTTTTTACGTAACCATATAACAAATAATCACGTATTAATTACCTCAGGTATCACACCCGGCCCAGTTTTTTAAAAACTAGCCGTTTTAAAAAAAAATAGTCGTTTATGACCGTTGGGACCTCTTTTTGATCCTTTTTTTTGTCTTTTTGGCCTTCTAAACCATATGTATCTGTGTGTGTCATTGAGATTCAAGAGATGGAAGAAAATTTAGAAGAAAATAAAATCGTCATGGGACTAAGCACAACGCCAACTACCGATACTGACGGCACTTACTCACAATATGACGATGATAAGGAACTCGACATTGATGACATTGATGACCAAGAGACTATTAGAAGAATTCAAGAGACCGAAACTCTTCAAATCAATCCAACATGGGATACCGATGATGAATAAGTGTATTTTCAAATAATTGAATATTTGAATGTAATTTTAATTATAATAAAACACATTTTTAAAGTGTATTTAAGTGACCCAATTACAAATCTTATAATGTATTCAAAAAATCTATCATTAAAAATATTTAGAAACAAATTTAAAAATTAAAAAAAATTGGGTAGGGACCGGGACAGGAATCGGTTATCCATAACCGGTTATAAAACCCCTTAACCGGGCCTAAGTATACTCGACGGGACCGGGACCGGGACCAGGACCAGGACCAGTTACGACCGACACTGTTTCGGCCCGGGACCGGATTTTGGCCATCACTACTTGAGACCCTGTAACCCAACATAAACCTGTTAAACCAAAAGGTAGGTCGAGACTGAACATTTTAAAGTCGATTACAACAAGAAGAAGCTCTAAAGGCAGAAGAGGCAATAGAGGTGGAGGAGGGACCCGAAGGGGGAGGATACCAACATATGCATATGCGGGTTTTTGTTATCATTCAAGCGCCGGAAAAAAATGATTAAGGTAAGTCATTATTTATTATTCGTATTCAAATGAAATCTATTTATACTAAACTATTACTTACACTTTGTATTTATTAAAGACATCATCAGGTGTGGTACAGCTACCATGGCCAAATGACACCCTTCTACATTCAATTTCACGTTTGGAGGACCAATTTGATCATGAAGTTCAAGAAGACCCGGATACTAGTGGTGATGGTGATGTTGATGGTGTACATGAAAGTCAAACAATTATATCTCAACCAGAAGTTAATGAGACTCTTACTTTAGATTAATTATCACTTTGTTATTGCAAACGACATAACTTTTGATGTATTCCTCTTAGTGGATGAACATATCCTTTGGGCATTTTTTTGGTATACTTTGTGAAAGTACGGGCATTTTTTTGGTATGTTTTATGAACGAATGAGCGTTTTTGTGATATATTTTTTAAAGGGATAGGCATATTTCTAGTATATTTTGTGAATGGATGTGCATCTTTTGGTATATTTTGTGGAAAGATGGGCATCTTTTTGGTATATTTCATGAGGGGATGAATATAATTTTTGTATGTATTAATTTACTTTAGCATAGCTTTTGTATGTTTCAGAATTAGTTGGACATTTTATGATTTTTCTCTATTTAATTGATTCATTTCATTTTGTTATCTGTGAGAGGAATTGTACATATCCTTTTGTTCAAGAATACAATTACGACAAAATTTACAGATTACTTTTTCCAAATTTTTATCGCATTATCTTGTTTTACAAGTTACAAAGATGTATTTAACAGATTTTAGAAAGTTTAAAGGTTTTATCAATAAAAAAAATAGTTTAAGGACTTAATTATTCAAAATCAGATAGTTCATTGGATTTTTTTAGACTTTTCCCAACTAAGTGTGAAAATAGCGGTCGCTGAAGGTAGATGAAGTGGCATAAGAAAATCAAACTCATCCAAAGACTCGTTATTGTTCTCATCATTCTTACCATAATTATTATTCTCACACGATCCCTAGTTTCTCTCTCTCTCTCTCTCTCTCTCTCTCTCTCTCTATATATATATATATATACATACATATATATAACTGTATGCATACGTAAACATCACATAATCTAATATCAGCCACATACATCATACCACATTAACAAATAAAACACATCATAAAGGGAGGAACCAAATGATCCTTTATAGATACACGTGAGATTTAGATATTTACCTCAGTAGTTATGGCTGCATCGGTCGCTCTCCAGCGTGTTCCAAAGACCATCACCAGATATGCATAGAAATCTCCTTTTGCAGTCGTGTACTTAAAACGGCATTTCTTCTCGGATGGTAAAATTGATCTCAAGGATAAGCCTGCAAGCCACCAACGTACGTGGCTGCAACCGAAGAGGTTCCTTGTGTTATGAAGTCGTCCCATGTATGAGCAGTCAAAATGACAAAATCGCCCATTTTGCCCACGGATAACGAGCCTATATCATCGTCAAGAAAGCATGCACAAGCCGCTGAAATAGTGTGCCTGTGAAAATGGGAGAACTCTTGGAAACATAAGCAAATAACCGAAAAAGAAGACCAGTAATCTGAATTATTGTAGGAGGACCAGTAAACTGCAAAACCAACACTAGAATGTAATATCTCAAAAGGAAGACCTTTTTTCTTGTTTCAATCATGTGAATAGAGTTGTAGATTGGGCCGGTCTGAAAATGGTAAGTTTCGGTTGTTTGATGGTGTTTTCGTGCAATACATTCACCATTTCCCATTCATCATCAAAACTAGACATAATCTTCAAAAACCCTTATTCAAGACTTTATATTTCAATAGCAGGTAATAACACCTTAGGATTTCTCTATGTTTCTAATTTAAAAAGATCGTCTTTTCTGATCATTCTTGGACTAACAAAAATCCAGTTATGGAGGGTGGAACCTCTACCTATCGTCACCGGCCACCACAATACCTGGTCAAGTGGTCATATGTGATGACACTCGATGCAGTTTGTCTACATTCTTTATCTGGTTTGAAAAAAGATGGGTATTTATCTAGTCTTACTAAAAGAATTGGTCCAAAAAAAGACTGGCCGTCCAGCCTGGTCTAGTCTGAAGACACCATGAACCGGTCTTTATGGTCTAGTTTGTTATGTCAGGCCCGGACCAAATTCCCATCTCTGCACATCAAGACTTGGTAGAAAAGTTCACGGCACATAAGAAAGATATATCTATATCTATATCTATATCTATATCTATATATATAGAGAGAGAGATGCTAATCAGTAAATCATACAAACTTACAAACCAGTTTTCATGTGTGAGCGTGAATGCAGTGTTTATACAGTATTGTTTCATATGTGAAACGTTAAGTATTATTTTGTGTGTGGAAAAAACAATTTTTTCTGTTAGTACTTGCATCAAGAAGAGAAACAGGTTCCAAAAACATTTCCAACTCACTGAAGAAATGCAAACAATAATACAAATATCAAGTTCATTGAAGATCAAGTTATAGGGGGTTAACAATTTGTAGTAGATGATCACACTGGAAAACCAAAGGAACTTCAACATCATCAAAGGATTCGAGCTTTCAAGGAAATGCATAAGAGATCTATAGTCCAATGCCCCATTGACTAAAAAAGATGATTGGGAATACCGGTAAAAGGCACAAGACCATGTTGGCTGTGTGGCAGTCCAACATCAAGCACTTGGAACAACTTAACACGCATGTTACCCCCTCCATCCCATAATAAAATCCGTCTTTTTTATTTTGAAAATTCAAATGAACACTTCTCTAATCCAATAAAAACAGGTTTTTTTTTCTTACACTTTTTAAAGCTTTGAATTATTTGTTGGAGAACTTCTTGTCTATGTTCTACTTTAGCTATCAATTTTCCTTAAAGATCAAAATGCTTTCTTGGCATTTAACCAAAGGACCCCTCATTTGATACTTTAAAGTCAAACGTGGCCTCGTTTTTTTGGGTACAGATGAGAACCTAAATTATGCAGTATAGGGTAATAAAGGCTGCAAATGATGCCACAGCATCCAAAAACTGACTTCTTTTCCTAATTTTCGTGGATCTAATATCACCTGAAAGATAAGGGAACATCATGTGTTAACTAATGCCTCACTTCTAATACTACAATATATCTTTTATATGTGTTCCTCTTTAATTGCACATTTGCCCCACATGACAAATCACGCAATACGATATTTGAATTATAAAAACAGCAAGTTTCTAGGCGAGTAGGCACTTGGAATTAATAGATTAAGGATGGCAGATGTCCAAGCATTTAAAAGAGTGAGAAAAAGCATAATCAAATATTATTTTATGTTCACTTACGCGTTTAAGGCATCAGTCAGCTTCATGCACTCTCCTGAATTCCAAGCTTTATCCCAACCAGGAGGTATCCTTTTTATTGCTGTCTTTATGCTATGCAGAGGATTAATATCTGCTACCTGAAATTTTGCCATCAGTAAAAAGTGATTATAGTGACCACCAAAGTTAGTGATCCATGGATTCTATGGACCTAAAAAGCGAGCTTTCAAAAGAGTTCTCACAGGCCAATCAGAACCAAATGCAACAGGTGTATTGCTAGCAAGGAGTGACTGGAATAAATAAGATCCTTTCTGCGCCCTCTCTAACCCAATTTTTTTAACTGCAGAGTCGGCATCGTCCAGCAAATGATCTGGCTGCCAATAATTGGGATCCAACATTGAGAAGCAACAATGAAAAATATGATCATGAGGTGCAAAGGAAGATTGAACAAATATGCATAAAGCAACATCGGATAGGGTTTTAAACCACTGATTTCAATTTACATTATGCATCCACCTTCAACATGAAAAAATATGTGCACCTTGACGTCAGAAATAGAGTACCCTATTATTCTTAATTTTACATAAGATAATCAACTTTCCAGTACATGTGAAGGCAGAAGCAGAGTATTTAATTTACAACAGGGTCAACAGTCGCAAATGGAGGACAAATGAACATTGAATTGTAAGTAGCATTAGATATAACACATCTAGAAAGGCAACATGAGCCAGTTGTTGAATAGATTCATGTTGCCATTCTTGATAAGAGTATAAATTAGATGCAAATGGCCAAAAAAGGAATTATTCAAATAAATAAATCCATGGAAAGTGACCATAAGCCTAATTTGGTAACCGTCTTTTCATCTGTCCTCCAAATCCTGTAGGCGGTGTCATTTGCTCAAGCCGGATGCAACCAATCATTATCACATTCCGGCCTGAGGTTGAATGCCATGTTAGCATGTTTTGAGAACTTTGTACCCTGCCTCACTCCTGTTTTCTCGTATATGACACATCTGGAGATATCCCTAGGTGATTAACTTCCAAGAGTGGGACAGCCAAAACCACGCCACGACCATGAAGGAATAGTTCTGATTTAACTTTTTTTGAGGATGATATCAGATGATAATTTGATTGGTATCAGGTAGTTAACAAGTGTTTATTATAATCAATACAAAATTATGGTTTGCCAAAAAGAAAGAGACATGTGACATGTGGAAGGTATTCAACAAGGCCTACACTCTAGCCCTATGTTGAGCCATGCAGGGTAACCATACACCTACGGTACATGAAGAAATCCTCCATCAAGACAAGAACCATATACTAGGGCCAAACAATCTAGGTTCACCTTAGGTTTATGGTTGTGAAGCTACAATTCCCATCCATGGTATAACAAATCATTTTTGGGAGATTTCTCTTATCCCCACATTCTACCCTCATTATTTCTTAGTGACCAGAAAGTTAAGACCTAAGCCATCAAATTGGCTCCACGTAACCATTTTTCTGCAATTGTCCCAATCACACTAGTGCTTTCATTGTATCCACCTCACACTCTCTCTAACCTTGCTCGAAATAGCAAAGACACTCCATCGTCATTCTAATTCTCTATTCCAAACACAAGCAATATAGGTACTACGGTGGAGGATCACAATCAGATTAACCGATCTTATTAAAATTGGTTATGGTGAGATAATGGGACTCTACTCTCCTTTAAGGAAGTTCGGCATACCAACCCTTGGAGGACTCAAAACCGAGATTTTCATTTAAATTTTTCCCGACATTATTCAAATATGTTTTGGAGGGGTAACAAGAAAATCACCAAAGCACTTCTTCAATCATTCAACTTGACATACAACTACTAGAGACACCTTTTTCTGCTGGTACTTGAACACAGAACAACAGTTCTTAGTCCTGCAAGGGTATTTTTTTAATCAGAGAGAATATGTTCCCATGTCCCATCAACTATTGGCTTGTTAAAAAATTGCGGTGCTTATTCTCCAATGATTCTAAATCTTAAGTACCAATGATGATTGAAAACTACCCCATGATCAAGGTTTGGTTGAGTAGTTGAACTGTCATAGTTGATATTGTGTTACAAGGTGCTCCAATATTAGTCAAGTTGGTTGTTCATATAGTCAGAGGTTGATTGCTAGATATTGTGTCCAGCCAAGAGGGATTCTAGCCTCTTCGCATAACACTCTTTCTTGCTATATTTTTTTTCTAGGGTCGAGCCACAATAAGGCATGTGCAATGCAATTTGTAAGTTGAAGCACTTAGTTTATGAGTTGCTTCATTCTATGATCGGTTTCCTGGACTTGTCTCATCACAAAGATACAGCTATGCAAATCTCCAGGAACCAATTTTTTCATGAATGTACAAATCATAAAGAGGTTGATTGTCACCTCATGCAGGTGCGAGAAACTAGTTGCACTTCTTGAGATCCTACATCTATTGAGTCTACTTTTGTTTGTTCTGCTTTGCTACTTGCAGATATTTTGATCAGGACTTCTCGGATGGCTAGAATTACCCGTACCACTAACAAGATGGAATGTTCAATACACATGTTCCAATTGAGGGGTGTCAGTAGTAGTTTATATTATTTATTCATTACTCTTTTCTCTAGCCTAGACCATATCATTTATCATATTTTCCTTGGTAATTGATAGTCTCTTTGGCTGGTTTCTAAGTTCCACAGCAGTATACTTGACAGTCCTGAGCTGCATAGACCAATAGTTCCAAGCAGCAGATTGATATGATGACTACTTTAAGAACATACTGGGCCATACAATAAGTCATGTACTTTAATTACCTGCACTGAAGCAATAATCCCCTGTTCGCTAAATTTGGCTACACTTCCATGAGTCAAATGTTGAGCATGTTCAATCTGCAAAAAAGGGCTAATCAATTCATGACAACATTTATGAATGACACCACTATTACTTGCACAAAAGTACTCCATTCTACAAGTATCTATTATCAACAAGACATGCACATTAAAGTGAACCAATATTGGATTTGTAGTTTTGTACTCACTATCATAACCCTTAAGATGTAGTATAATTGGGGATGGTATGGCTGTGGCTTACCATGGTGATGCATGGCATTGGTTCTTTAAAACGATGCTGTTCTAGTAAATTATTGCATGGGGGTATGGCTCTTTCGCCACCGTACCTCTACCCCCTATGCGAAATATTGACAGAACGTTGTTTTAAAGGAACCATAGCCTAGTACAGCTATGGTGAGCCACAACTCTTATAACTGCTTTTATACATATAATATCTAAAAAATTTAACCCCCTCTTCACCATATCCCATGAAAGTTGCAACATTTAACTTGGCACATAGTTAAAGGAAATGGTTGGACTATTCACCAAATATCTAAATACCCTTCATAAAGACAAATAAAAGGAATCGTGAAGACTTGTGCCAATACCCATAGGTTTGTTTTTGATGTCCATAATGTCAAATAGTTATTATAGCTTGGAAATGTTGCCATTTTCATGGAAAACCTCAAAAATAGAACTGGTGCAGTTTTGACGGAATGGGGGAAGTACAGTTTATTATGTCGTGATATTAAATATTCTTATTTCCATAATGTTATGTTGACTCTCAATCTCTAACAATGGAGCTCAAAAGACCCTTAGAGAAAGAGGCAAAAATCAAAACCAAAAGAAATGTGAAAAGCAAGTGAAGTGACAATGAGATGGAACAAAAATCTCAGAGCAGAGCACTGCAACTGCCTCCTCTATTCCTACAGCAACAAGACAAGAAACCGAATCCGACTGAGACGACATTTTATCAGCAGACGTGGACTATATCACAGAATCAAGAAGCAATCATAATTAACTTAGAAGCTCAAATAGACAGCTAGAAAACTACATATACAATAGAGCACATGATCTAAGAAGAAACCAAACGAGCAAGTGAAGGTTGTGATAACTAGAAACACAAAGCAACTTGAAGACCCCTTGATGAACAATGGTAAAAGAGATACAAGAGTCTGCAAAAAAGGTACGAGTTGTGGTCACAATGAACGAAAAGGCTAAAAAATTCTACTCCTTACCCTGGGGATGAAAACTATAGAATAAGTTAAACAAGATAAGTGGGATTCTTGGTTCTGTATTCCTAGAGGTGTTTGAACAGAATCACGTAGATGTATTTTCCATGACACATTGAAGTAAATGCCTGCTCATGCAAAGTTCTACACAAAACTCTATCTAGCAAAAGGATTAAGGAATAAGGAACAGTATGCTCACTGCTGACAGAGGGATGCAGTGCCATCACGAACAAAAATATTAATTTACCTCAATGACTCGGGGAGTTTTCAACCCTACGTGCAAGGCATTCTTAATTTGAGTAAAACCTTGTATCAACTACGATTTTCAATACCTTGTCTATTAAAATGTACCCGTTGCATGATTGCACACGCTCTTACGTGTACTTGCTCTCCTGTTCCTTCTTTTTTCTGTTTTACAATCCGGGTCTTCACAAAAGCAACCTCTCTACCGCTTGGGGTAGAGGAAAGGTTTGCCTACATCCTATACCCCCCCCCCACAAATTACCCTACCTACGTGAGATTTACTGGTTTATTTGGTTTGATTAATCTACTTTCAGGCATAAAATGTTATTTCAGCTAGGATATAATACTTGGTGAGCGGTGTAATACTGATTACAACAAAACCAAAGTGTCATGCATGCATCTAGAAGCCCAAGACCATTCCTAGTGTTATTCTAGAATAGTTAGGAAGGGGTAATTTGTGGTATTTCTTAGAATAAATATTTAGTATAAATAGGGGGTTGCAAGGGGTGGGAGTCATGCAGAAAATAGTGAGTTGTATGGGAGATACTAGCATCTCAAATAGCTAGACGTTTTCTTTACTTTGTTGCTTTTAATCCAAGCTAGGTCGACGACCTTATTCTAATTTCTGTTCTGGATTTACTGGTTCATAACACAAAGATGCTAACTTATCATCATCACACAACAAATTGGGAGCACAGGATTGTCAGGTGCAATATCCAATGCTGGGTGCAACATTTAGAAAATGCAAACCTAAGATCAGTGTATGCATGTTAATTGTTACATATGATTAATACACACACACACACATATATGTATATGTGTGTATGAGAGAGAGAGAGAGAGAGAGAGTAAATGAAAGATAAATTGGAAAGGGAGAACCATTTAAGTATTTAAACCCATAATAATAGTCTATCAAATTAGTTATAGTATAATTATTGTAAGAAAAAGAATACAGGACTGGTAATCACAAAAAAATAACAAAACATATGCATTAACAAAAACTAGTCATCGTCTTGATCACATTAATTTCACCAATCATTATTATCATCATCATCACGACCACCATTAGTACATGGCTCTTAGTTTGGTTCATCGTGTAAAAATTTAAAGGAAATAGAAGACGGGCTGAGTAGTGGTACGCATACTGCACCCACTACGGATAGGTACCCTGAATCAATTACCGGTGCATCCAGTGTGCTGCTAGATGTATATAGGTTATACAGAATGGTGGGTGCAGACAATTATTGGTTATCGATTATAATAATTTTAGAAACATATACCCGAAATCTCCGATCCCTCTTCCCATTTGTTGAAACAACTGATTTGTACATATCCAAGACCAAGTCATTGGCCTTGTCTCCAATAGCATGAATAGCAACCTGATGAAGAAATTGTTGTTAACTAAAAAGTTGTTACACATGCAGGTAGAAGCACACAGCTAAGGATAAAATAAAAAAGGTACCTGGAGGCCAAATTTGTCAGATTGGACAGTCATATTAGATAGACTTTCGGTGTCTGTAACTTGGAGGCCAACATTCCAAGGCTCATCAGCATATGGCTGCAGGAAATATGAACGAACTGTTATATAACATGGACTTGATAATAAATTAGAAAGCCAAGTTCAAAAAACATTGAAAATGTATTCCCATAGTGGAAAGAATAACCATAGACCTCACAAAAACTAAGCATCACAAACACCATGAATGCATTGAAAGTTTTACAATGCAAGCATCCCAAAGTATATAGTTGTAGAGTGCAAACACCTCAATCCATCTATAGTAGTATGGTCCAAGTATTCCAACGGGATCAGCAAGGGCACTGAGGGATTACAGAGAAACAAATTAGAATTATTCTTACCTCATGAAAAAGTGCACTGTTAGACCCCAAGGACCCGTCAGCAAAAGCTTTAACACCACCTAAGAATATCCACTGGCTCAGCCTACGGCCTGTTGTTTGTACTACATCCTAAAAAAGAAACAAGGCCATCAAAGTTGGTGTTAATATGTAATTTATTAACAGAAGTGAACATAATTTTGAATTGTAAATAAAGGAAAAATAGAAAGCATATTGGCTAAATATAGATAAGCGGTGCTCCAAACAACAGTAAGAAAAAGCAAAGAGTACTAAGAAAGAGTGGAAGATATCAAACATACACCACTTTGTAAGATACTGTCAGCAAGTGAATTGTCAGAAGTAAGAAAACATAACGGTATAATAATATTTTTAAACATGCTGACTTGGTATTGCAGAACAGATAATTGGTAAGCTTGATAAAAAAGTAAGAGCAAAAACAGTCTGCTAAATTGCAATCCCAGTGAAGGTGAACATATTTTCTGATATGAATAAGAGTAAGAAGCATCAGTGGCTCCCTAGATGTTTTTTTTCCAAATATGTCAGGTGGACCCTGACTTGAAAATTTTAGCTTCTAAGTGATCAAACTGTGACATGAATGACAAAAACAAACGGCACCAAATCTCATGATTTTTGACTCAACTAGCTAAGGGAATATATGCAAACCGTTATATTCCAATATGGAACCTTTGAGAAAATTAAAGAGGTAATTAAAAATCAGTGCCGGAGAGAATAAAAGGAATACATCTAAATTGGTTTAAAGCATAGGCCTATACTTCATAAACAAAAGTGTCGTCTAGATTGTATAAAAGCACCTATTTTGTTTAAATTGATACAGGTGGTTAAATGGGTGGGCAGGTCAAAATATATTACAGGCGAAAATGGGTAAGCTTTTAGAATAGCAGGGGTTGGGTTGACCATCCAACAATTTAATTGTCCATTTTTTAATTTCATAAATAACTAATATAATAATATGATTAAACAACTATTATTAATCCAACTTTTTTCAAATAAAAGCAATTTAGGAGGTTGTAAGCACTTGACTATACTTGGTGTGACTTTTAAATTGTTTGACCCATTTGACCTGCTTCCTTTTTCAGCTAAACATTTTTATTTTACCCATTTGGCCCGTTATTAATAAAATATAACCCAAGTTGACCCATTTTCACATATATTGCCCCCTATAGAACATTCCTTCTCCACAATCCATAATAGAGTATTGGAAAACCTCAAGTACAGGAAGACAATAACTAGATGTGATAAGTTTTCACTGGAAATGGATACAAGAGTTCTCTTCAGAAATATGAGAGATGATATCGCCACTGTAGGAGAAATTGGTATAATAATGTGTAGAATAGTAACCAGATATGGATTAATAGAGAGTTATAGATGGACTCTAATAAGGAAACGTTTGTAGATAAGTGCTTTCCCATATTGTTTGGAGCTGTAGTTGTAGTCTATCTCCTAATCTTTACTTGTATATATAGTTCCTTATGTTGTCATCAACATATAGTAGAAAATAATATTCTTCCTACTTCTCTAAAGCTTTTATTCCTACTTCTCTAAAGCTTTTATGGTATCAGAGCTCTAAAAATCTTTGATTCTTTTCTTGATTTTTTTCCCTTAAAAACTCCGGCGTGAAATGCGTTTAGTCAATAACCACCATGGGATCAGACTCAGAAAAATCGAACCAGTCAAAAAGCATTCCTAATGCTGCCAATTCCGAAAATATACCCTAACCCAAATCGTAAACATAAACGCACCCACTGGCTAAATTCGTAAACGATTACAAATAGAAACAGAATTACAGTAGCTAGAATTTCTTATTTGGAACAAATAAGATTGAAATTGTCGGCCAATCTTTATCGATACATAATTGATACGCTTCCCAGACTTTCGAGAGGTCTGGGCATCTCTCCCTGAGCTTACGCTCTCAACAGAAATCACCAGAAAGTGAAAACAGAATACTGACTATGACTAACAGCTTCCTATTTAAGCAAAACAGAATTACCAATCTACCCCTCCCTCTTATTCGTGTCTACAGCAAAGACTAAATAGACTCAATTAACTTCCTCTTCTATAAGTGAACCTCAAAGGAGGTTTATCAATACTCCCCCCCAAAAAATTCACCTTGTCCTCAAGGTGACAACTAAGAAATTGYTGAAGAAGTGCCTCAAGATTCTCCCAGAAAGCTTCAAAATCTGACAACAATACCGGACTGGAGAAAGGACCCATACTCGGTTGAATAACTCCTGCCTCGAGCATCTCTTTTACCAATTTCTCAATTTCATCTTTCTGATAACGAAGGTAATAGTATGGCCGAACATTAATCGTTTTAGTCACTTCCTTTAACATAATCCCATGCTCCCTACCCCTCTCCGGTGGTAATCCCGGCGGCCTGTTAGTAACTGATTCATATTTTCTTAGTAGTGGATCCAAAACAACATTTGGTTCTGTCATTTCCTCCGAAAATACTGAACAAGTACCCAATTCCACCAACACACCCTGTCCTTCATGGTTGATCACCTTTCCGAAAGCTTTTAGCGACACCATCGAACGTCCCAGAGATGGATCACCCTTTAACGTAACRGATTTTCCCCCACAAGTGAATTTCATCACTTGTAACTTCCAATTAACATACGTAGCTCCCAAAGACTCCAGCCATTGCATCCCTAAGATTACGTCACTATTACCCAAACCCAAAGGCAGAAAATCTTCCCTTATCTCAACTTCTGGTAAAAACAACGTTATCCCCTTGCAAATACCACTTCCTTTCTCCATGTTTCCAGAACCCAAAGTAATAGTATATTCACCATTAGCTTCTACTTTTAAATTCAGTCTTTTCACTAAATCGAATGATATGAAGTTATGTGTGGCCCCACTATCAATTAACACTACCACCTTTTGTCCTTCAATCCTTCCTTCCAACTTCATAGTTTTAGGATTAGTCAAACCCACAACTGAATTTAAATGTACCTCTACTTTTTCAGTAACTTCAGCTGCATTGCAAGCTCTTTCCTCCGTTTCCGGTGTCGTATCATCAAAAACATCCTCTTGAACTAGCAATACACTCATCTGCTTCTTCTTACACTTATGGCCAGGGATGTATTTTTCATCACATCGATAACACAAACCCAATGATCTTCTTTGTTGTACCTCTTGATCAGACAGACGTCRGAAACCGRTRCTTGCTTTATTTGTAAATGACGGCGAATTAACAGAACTAACGACGCTATTAGAGCCATGATTAGAAAAATTGCTTTTYGACTCCGAATTAGAATAAAAAAACGAACCTGTCTTCTTGCCATATCCCTCATACTCCTCTCTCGATAACACCTTGTTTTTTAATTCGATCTTCATGGCTACCTCCATTGCTTCGCTAAGTGTCAACGGATCCAAGAGTCTTAATTCCACTTTAATAGATTCTTCCAATCCATTAATGAATTAAGAAAATCTGTTCTGGAATTCCGTCTAACGGTGCCGCAAACTCGACAAATCTCCTTCTATAATCTTCAATTGATCCTTCTTGTCTCACCGATAGAAACTGTTCACACAACGAACCTGCTGTCAACGACCTAAATTGTCTTAACAACAAATGTTTCAGATCCTCCCATCTTGTAATAGGGTGTCGCTTATGCTCCCACTGGAACCACTTTAGTGCATCTCCTTCAAAAGAAATAAACGACACGTCAATTTTCTCTTCTTGACTCAACTAATTCAACATGAAATAACGCTCAGCTCTCAAAATCCATCCGTCGGGATCTCTGCCATCGAAAACAGGGATCTCTAATTTGCGCCCCTTCACCGCCGAAAATCGATTCTGATTATTTCGATTTCTGTCKCYTTGTTCCMCTCTTGCAGCTGTTTCTTCATCGGACGAATTGGACGTGTTCGTTCGATTTACAAAATCRTTCCTCAAATCTTCGATTTGTTGTACAATACGCTCCAGGTTTMTTTCGATTGATCCTACGCTACTCTCCAAATCTTCAATTCGATTGTTAACGCTTCGAGTCGTGACATTCGCCATCCCTAATCGTAACGAGCTCTGATACCAATTTGTTATACCCTAGCCCAAATCGTAAACATAAACGCACCCACTGGCTAAATTCGTAAACGATTGCAAACAGAAACAGAATTACAGTAGCTAGAATTTCTTATTTGGAACGAATAAGATTGAAATTGTCGGCCAATCTTTATCGATACAGAATTGATACGCTTCCCAGACTTTCGAGAGGTCTGGGCATCTCTCCCTGAGCTTACGCTCTCAACAGAACTCACCAGAAAGTGAAAACAGAATACTGACTATGACTAACAGCTTCCTATTTAAGCAAAGCAGAATTACCAATCTACCCCTCCCTCTTATTCGTGTCTACAGCAAAGACTAAACAGACTCAATTAACTTCCTCTTCTATAAGTGAACCTCAAAGGAGGTTTATCACAATCTCTCTCTCCAAATTACAAGCTTTAAGCTATCCGGATCGAACTACCTTCAATGGTCTTGATCTCTCCAACTCGTTATTCGTGGGAAGGGGAAGCATGGCTACACCGGTAGCTCCATTGAAAAACCCTTATCCACACATCCCTTTTTTGTTGAATGGGGTATTCAGAACACCATGGTTATGGCATGGCTCATCAACTCGATGCAAAACAGCATTGCAGAAATTTACCTCCTTTACCCTACGGCAAAATCTATCTGGGATGTTGCCGCTCGCTCCTATTCAGATCTCGAAGACTCCTCACAGATGTTCGAGCTTCGAACTAAGGCTCGAAATCTGAGACAAGATACCGGTAATGTTACTATGTACTTTAATGCGTTAACTAAACTTTGGCAAGAATTGGATCTTTTTTCTCAACCTGAGTGGAAGGATCCAGTAGATGCGGAATTATACAAGAAGATGCTTACCAAAGAAAGAACCCATGATTTCTTGGCTGGTCTTGATTCCTTATTTGATGATGTTAGAGGACGTATTCTCGGCATTAAACCCCTACCAGTAGTCGATGCCATCTTTGCCGAAGTTCGCCGAGAAGAACATTAGAAAAGGACCATGATTACAAGTCCAATTCTTAATGGAACACACATCAAGTATGAAACCATTGCCATGGTTGCACATAATTGTGGACCTCGCAAGCCTACTCTTCGATGTGACCACTGTCAACGTCCCCATCATACAAAGAGTACTTGCTGGAAGATCCACGGAAAACCTGCTGATTGGGTACCTTGGAGCCAACGAATTCCAGAAAGTAAAGGAAATCCAACAACCCAAATATCAGGATCGTCTTCTTCCTCCAAACCTATGGATGTTGTTTTTTCCAAGGCCCAGCTTGAACAAATTGGGCAGCTCTTAACGTCTTCAACCTCACTTCGGCTTGTGGTAACCAACAAACCGAAGATATTCCAGGTGAGTCATGGATTGTGGATTCCGGAGCATCAGAACACATGTCTAGTCATAAGTATGTCTTTGAATCCTTAAAGCCTTGCCCAGTTACAAGAACAATCACCTTAGCAAATGATTCTATAGCTCCTATTGAAGGAATTGGTACAGTTGAACTTACACCCTACTTGATTATCCATGATGTTCTATTTGTACCAACTGTCGTACAATCTTATCTCTATTGGTTGTTTGACCTCATATTCCAAGTGTCTGGCTAATTTTTCTGAATATTGGTTCTTTTTCATGATCGGGTATCGGGGAAGACGATTGGTCGTGCTAAAAGACTTCTGGATTATACTACTTCCATCCAAATCTGCCACAAGCTTTCTAGTTCATGGATCTACTACCTTAAATCTTTACCAACGAATCAGTCTTCTTCATCAAAGACTCGGCCACCCTAGTTTTTCATACCTTAGGTTTGGTACGCAGACTGGGTGGGACGGGATGGGACAAAGAAAAATACTCCCATGTTTTGTATGACATGGGACAACATGGGTCAAAATTTTGATTTCATGGGACAAAAATTAATTTTTTAACTCCACCAAAATAGATGGAACAACATGGGACTAAATGAAAGAGATTACAAGATTACCCTCATTCTAAATCTAAAACAAACGCCTCCAACTAGTTCACGTCCATATCACCTAGTTCACGACTTCTTCCCCATATCAACTCCATAGTTCGATTTCTTCAGTTCACGACTTCTTCAACAACAGGTACGCTTTCGATCTCTCATCTTCACAATCTGTTATGATCTAGGGTTTTAGACTCGATTTTTTAATCTGGTTGGTGTCGACTTTAGAGTCGATTATAAGCTTCGATTTCAATTTTCTGGTTTGGTTCTCGATTTTAAGTCTGGTTTGATTTTCTGGTTTGTTCTTGATTTTAGACTACAATATAAGCTTCTTTTCCATTTTGATTTTCTGGTTTGGAATGTGATTTCTCGAATGTGATTTCTAGTTCTGGTTTGGAATGCAATTTTCTGTGATGAACTTGGGAATGGAGATTGCAAGAACGAAATCTACAATTAGCTTGTCTCAAAGGGAATATACCTTGGACTTGCTCAAAGACATAGGGATGCTCAGTGCTCGGCCCGCCTCTACTCCTATGGATTCTCCTCTAAAGCCTTATGCTAGTTTTATGGTTCCAATCGACAGGGGGAGATTCCAATGTCTTGTTGGTCGACTGATATACCTCGCACATACCTGGTCTAATATTATGTTTGCAGTTAACTATGTAAGCCAATTCATGCATTCACCATCCCAATGCCATCTTGATGTTGCTCACCAAATCCTACGGTATCTTAAAGGAACACCGGGTCATGGTTTACTATTTAAGAAACAAGACAATCAAAGTAAAGAAGTGTTCACAGATGCAAGTTGGGCAAGTTGTCAAACTAACTAGCATTCTACCTCAAGTTAGTGTTCTTATGTGTTTGGCAACCTTGTCACATGGCGAAGCAAGAAGCAGGGAGTGGTCTCAAGAAGCAGTGTTGAAGCCGAACTATGATCTACTGCCCTAGGTGTGTGTGAAGCACTTTGGCTAAGAAGATTACTGTGTGAATTAAGAATCCGAGTACTACACCCAATGACTATTTGGTGTGATAATAAAGCTGCTATCGCCATGACACATAATCCAGTTCGTCATGATTAAACAAAACATGTTGAAGTGGATCGACATTTTATCAAGGAGAAAATTGACAGCGGAATCTTGAAAGTCTCCTACATTTATGCTACTCAACAAGTGGCCGAGATCTTCACTAAAGCGCTAAGTTTACCACCATTCAACACGTTAAAAGGCAAGTTTGGATTGTATAACATATACCATCCAGCTTGAGGGGGAGTGTAGAATAGTAACTGAATATGGATTAATGGAGAGTTCCAGATAGACTCTAATAAGGAAATGTTTGTAGATAAGTGCTTATCCCATATTGTTAGGAGTTGTAGTTGTAGCCTATCTCCTAATCTCTATTTGTATATATAATTCCTTATGCTGTAATCAACATATAGTAGAGAATAATATTCTTCCTACTTCTCTAAAGCTTTTATTCCTACTTCTCTAAAGCTTTTATAATGCAACTGCTAAGCAATATATGCAGAAGGGACGAAAAACAAATAACCGTTGGAAGAGGGGAGTAAGTCATCCATTACTGACAAGTCTAAAGCAGGAGGTTGTTATGGGGGCACACATTCACCTTTTAGATACACCATTCTGTAAATTCAAAGGAAATGGTGATGACATGCCATTCATTCAAACCTTATTCAAATATGGATATATGTACACAAAATTATAGTGTGCTGATCACGCTGGTTACAGATGCTTCCTAATTATTAGTATGGAGAAAAGAATGAATGAGAGTCGAAGAGTAGGAATTCCTAACTAGTCAACAGAACTACACAAGCATTCAAATCAATTCACATGAGCTCTGTTTTTTGAACAGTATGTTTTATAATTAATAGCTATGACATAGAAAGGTTATCATGAAGTAGGATTCAACTAGAGCCATACAAGCAGATGTGACCATGTCGGCATTGGAAAGAAAAGGCAAACCCTGATCATCATTCTTCCAGATAAATCAGCCCATTTGTAAACATCTGCAGTTAACATGTAAGTCAAGACTTGGTCAACGGTAGTTCAGGCTTTCAATGCTAGTATTGTAGACCCACTTAACTTATTTCATGAGATTCTCGCACAGGCATAATAGTAAATAGAAGTAGTTGAATGGATTAACAGATGGCATAAGAATGGACTGATTCTGCCTCCACGTAACGGGGTACAATGCCCTTTCTAGTTTTACAAAGACATGATAATCTTAACAGACCAACAGTTGGTATTTATTCCCATGTTGAGTTATCCTATCCTACCCATATATGGTAATATGCCTGATGAATTAATGATAGAAATGATATGAATGGAGTAGTAAACAAACTGATAAACCTGTAAAATCTTCCCATGAATGTTTTAATGGAGCTCCAGGAAAATATCTTCCAAAATCAACAATGGTTGTGACACCCCTCATCAAGGCATACCTACTAGCTCGTTCCAATGCTTGCCTTCTTTCTTCGACTGAGACCTCCGGAATGCAAGAAAGAATAACCTTCATTGCAGAATCAATCATCAGGCCTGTAGGTTCTGCATATAAAGATTCCAAAAACATGAGTGAGCAAGCCGAAGCTGTCTTCTACTCATTACTTATTAGGCCATAAGTTTAAACATATTACAACTCAACCAGATCCATTTCCTATTCTTCAAACCAATGAACTGTTAATTGCACATTCCTTCCCATGTGTGGAATGAGCACCCATGTTCTCACCTCCACAAGATCTCCATGTGCCTCTTTGATGTTACTTCAGAATGCAACAGCCACACATACAACCTATGTGGATTAGTATATCACAAAACTAAATAAAAGAAAAAGCAAGTAATTCCTATATAAAAGTTTCACGAGCGCCATGGTCTTTTCATGGATCCTTGATTGAGGATGTAATAAAGGTTGGCAATAAGAATATATGAGCCTCACTCCTCGGTAACTTTTGTTAAGCATCATCTTAATCACCAAAACTATGAATACTATGTCAAAGCTTCAACTTGCCAAGACTAATGTTGCTTCTACAACTTCAGGTTTACACCATGTCGTTTAAAAACAATGCAAGTACCAAACACATACACCTATCAATAGATTTTGTATTGAGAAAACACTATATAGATGTCCTAAGTACCACATACAGAGGATTACACAAATTAGCATGCATGGAAGCACATGCATTTGAAGTTCCACTTACTTGCTCAATGCTCATTTCAGCAGAAAATTTCAAATGAAAGTGGGTTGTGCATTAAGAAATAACCCAAATGACCCATACCTTAAAAGTACAAACCGAGATAATGAACAAGTTACCTCCATCTGCATTCCTGCTAATAGTCCCACCAACTGGATCTTGCATACTACTGTTAACCCCAGCTATTCTTAGAGCCAGAGAGTTGGCCAAGCCCATGTGACCATCCATCCTTGAAAGCCATACCTGCATATGGAGTCAAAGATCAAAAACCTTGAGCAAGATCGAGTTTTCAACCTCATATAATTTGTATGCGGTATTTCTTACAGGATGATGAGCTGTAATGTCATCAATCCAAGAGGCTGACGGCAATTCTCCTCCCCAAAGATCATTATTCCAGCCACCACCCAATAACCAAGAACCTTCTTTCATGTCTACAAAGATGTTGAGATGTATATCATATAGAATTGTAGATTCCATAACCACTTTTACAATTTCTAAAATACCCATGATGAGGAAAAGCAAAATGCAGGGCCGACCCTGGGGGAGGGCGGTACGGGCAAACGCCCTGGGCCCAAAAATATCAGGGGCCCAAATTTTTCCCTTAAAATACAATAGTAGTTTAAAAGAATTTAATAAATTAAAGAAACCCAAAAAATTGTAGCATATAATAAGAGGCAAAAAGAATTTAGTAGATAATAAGGGCCCAAAATTATATCAACTAATTACATTGGAGAAGAAAAGTTAAAAAAGAAAATTGGTCATTCATTATATGCTATTGTTTATTACCTCTCTAATTTTTTTTATCTCCAACAAGGTCCAATGATATTGATTATTGCTATCTCTATATGCTTGGTTGTTTTCGCGCTTCAACAATTCAATGTTAAGATCATGTGCTTGTTATTGCTATATATTTTTGTTGGATATTTTTATCAATTTCTGCTTCTATTGACTATTGCTATTTGGTTATCTTGTTCTAATTGTTTTTATTGACTATTGTTATCTATTTTTGCTTCTACAAAAAATATTTTACTATTGTTTGACGATCAATCTATTGTTCTTATAATTTATGACGTGTTTCATGGTTTTGTGATTAATCAATAAGTTTTTTCTACTAGATGTATTTAGTAATGTCTCTTATATATGTCATGTTCCATAAACTTTTAATCTTAACATCTTATTTTAGTTGAGCAAAAAAAAGGAAAAATTTTAATATTTTCATCAATTGCTTGACTTATGTATCCTTCATTGGGATTCCACCACATAACAAGACTCTATTTAAGTGCTCAAACAATCATTTGTTGAGCTTGCATATCGGGCATAAGTTTCAAAAGTTTTAAGAAGTCTTATGTCGACGATTATAATTTTTTTGTAAAATTTAATAGAGATTCGGGTTTTATAAGTTATTTGGAAGAACCAGATTTTCGTCGAGCCGTAATCAAAGGATCTATGCGCACTCAAAGGCATAAAGTGGTTATTTGGGGACCGTCTCTAGGAAATGCCCATTCCCCGCTTTTTTTCGAAAAAATGGAAAATTTTCCTTTTCCTATATCCGACCTAATGAAACTTTTTTCTAATATTAGAGATTGGTTGGCTATAAAGTCAGAATCAGAAATTTCAGATCAAAAATTTGAAATAAAAAAAACTACCAGAAAACGGGAATAGAAATATGGGAGAACATTCCACATAAACAAAAAACAAGAAGTATTCTGTTAATAGCTCAAGCAATTTTTAGAAAATATATTAAATTACCCTTATTAATAATAGCTAAGAATATTGGCCGTATTTTATTACGGCAATCTCCGGAATGGTATGAGGATTTCCAAGATTGGAACAGATAAATTTATTTAAGATGCAGCTTGGATGGTATTCAATTCTACAGAAAAAAGTTTAATTCATTATTTTTTCTTATTGGATCTCAATGGATCATCTTTTCTTTCATATTCTTATTGATCCTTATTTGTCTACTTGTCTAGAAAACCTTGATAATCTTCTTTATTATTGACCTCTCATTGACCCTCACGATCACTTCATTCACACGAATTCTCTTTTTGTATCAAAATAACAAATATTTCTTGTTATGAACTAAAAAAATTCTTACTTTTCATAAAATAAATTCAACCATAGTTTCTATACTCTTGGTTTCAAATTACCTAATAAGAAGTACGTAAATTTAAGTACTCTCTTATCTATAATAAAGATAAATAAGATTTCTTTCCTAAGTAAATTATTAACATTTCTTGTACTCAATTTTATACTAATATATTTATTGAATTTGTTTTCGTGCTTACCGAGGGTCACTAAAAAAAGTGAGCTTTGACGATGCGCCTTTTAGCGATGACATGTTTCCGCCACAAGTTATAACGACGACATGTTATATACTCTTTCTGATGATAAATGGACTTTTAGCGACGACAAAAGTCGTTGCTAAAAGCCTTGTTTTCTTACAGTGAGCCCTGTTTTTTCGTTCGCCCAGGGCCTATAAAATGTCAGAAACGGGCCTGGCAAAATGCAAGTGTAAATACAGAAAACGCTAGGGAACTCCTTTGGCTTAATAAGGTAAAAGTATCTCATACACAGCTACTAGAGGTGCTCCTTTTGAAGTGATCCTTAGATTATAGAGATTAGAATCTATGCAATGTGAAAGGAAGACTCACTTCTCACTGCTTCTTTAACCTTTCCAATGAAGTCATCTTTTGTGTTCACGCCTCGAACCTCCACCCGTGCCATCTATTTTCACTTCTCAGTCAATATCACAATTGCAAAAGAAAATAAGGAAAGTAAGGGGAAAACTTTGTGATGCATAACACATGGTAAATTACCATTCACCCTCATTACATATTTTCTACGTGTTCTTCAAAAGTAGGCATTGTTCATGAGCCATAATGACAAAAAGCTAATCATTTTCTCTGTACCAACCTCTTAAAAGTAAACTTAGTCATACTTATGAAGATAACAAGTGTGCCTAGAATTTCTTCATAAGCCATTTCCAATTCAATAGATTAAATTAGTTGATTAATTTGGACTCTGATCCATCTAGATAACTCATACTTCACAAACTGGTATGAAATAGTGAAATTGAATCCTCAAAGTTATTTCTCCAATTGAAACACAACAGTTTTGTGATAACATAACATTTATCTCCCAAAATAGATCATATAAACTCTATGGGTTACCGAGCTCAAGAATAAGAAAAGTCAAGTGGAGGTCTAACTTGGACACAAAGATGGAAGAACCAATAGTTTAACCTTGAAGGCCCCTTAAGCTTTCAAAAGAAATAAACATCATAGATAAACATGGCAGAAAATGATAGAAGCAAGAATCCAGAACGGAATACCCAATTCTCCAAGTGAAAGCTTTGCCATTTACATGTTTAGAAAGAACAAATCTCTAAGTTAGTAAAACCATTACAGTTAGAACCTGTACATTAACACCTGTATTTCAATGTACTACAAACTCTGAACCATTATGGCTGTCTGTGCTAGGTATTAACTGCCCCATTCATGACTTTGACCACACCTACAAACTTGAGTCCTGAGTACTAGTTTCCTATATTGCATCACAAAAGTGTACCTATTCCTATTTTGTATAAATGTAATTAACATGGTAAATAGCAATAGCTATTGGTAACTGCAATTTGGTAAGACTGACATACATGTGGGTAAATAGCAGATTCTAAAAGTAAAAGAATAATGAATAAATAGCAAATTCAGCGTTTCTAGAGGATAATTCCCTAATAAGTTTCACATATTCAGGAGAAAGTTTTGTTCGTTCAGTTCAGAAACACACTAATTCTTTAGCTATCTCAAATCTATTGCTTAATGTGTTCTTGCAAATATATTTCACCTCATACTAGTAGTTTCATGACATTGAAATTTACTAAAATTGAGAGAATACAGGACTACACTTTGTTTCAACAGACTATACACTTCTCCAATTATCAATTGACGAGACTCAGAGCGAACAAATAAAGAGCCATTATAAAGGGAATGACTTGCTAAGGGTTTAACTTATGAACTAAAAAACAAAAGACACATGTTAAAAAATAAAAAAATATAGACACGTATGTATATATGTAAAGAAGCTGAAGGATTGCAGAACCTGGAGTCCTCCAAAAAGCAAGTGGACATGAGAATCAATAAATCCAGGAACCACTACTGCTCCCTCAAGATTTAACTCTTTCGTTCCATACCCAGACACTTCCTGCATTTGAGTATAGACACACAAGCATTGAAAAACAAAATGAAATGCAAGTGAAATCTTCAAGGAAATGAAGTGTAATATTTATATATATATATATATACAAGAATTATTGGTGATTAAATCTAAAACATGTTCCTTGGCACCCATGAGAAGCTTATAAACGTGGACCCTGTGCACCACTTTCTTCATTTTTTTAGTAAAATCTAAAATCAAAGAGTGTGGTCCATGGTGCTAGCACGCTGCACTCCATTTCTATAAACCACTTAACTACTTTAATAGTAATATATAAAAATAAAAGGAGATTTAATTAAATCATGGCCTATCTAGAGTTACATTAACTTATAGATTAAGAAATTAAATTATCAACTATGGACACGCATAAACTAGCCAACAATAGTTCAATTTGGGCTTAGTTTGACTGCCCCACTGTTTTCGTATAAACACATACACAACTGTTAAAGGCTGAGACATGAAAGCCAAAAGTGGTAAGCCTGTAAAAATGCACTTAACAAGCCCAACAAGTAAGGTTACTACTTGAGCCACACCACTTCGAATTTTTGAACATGCCGTGTGCTCCTCAGATCAAGACAAATTATATGACATTCAGAATCAATGTAAGATAGTACTCTTTAGGTAAGATTCAGAACAGTGAAGCATGAGGACAAGAAAAAAGAAACAAGACCACGCTGCTAGACATCACATGCTTCCCATGCAATTGAAGACATTCTATGACGATTACAAAAGTATTGAGGTGTACAGACACATAAGAACTTAGAAATCTGAAAAACCGCCACAGGTTCACAGAACATAACTCTTTGTCTATGAACCAACACATATCCTCGAAGTCACAAAAGAACATAACTATATGGAAACAAATGTAACTAGAAGTGCAAAATGTCTGTCCATTTGTAGTAATTTGTATCAGCGAAAACTATCCTAAGATATACCCTTACTAAACACATAGTGTAACTGAACTTCAACAATCTTGTGTAAATCTGTGCATATTTATGTTTGAGTCCACTCACATATAACAACATTTGAGACTATATTGCAGTTCAATTATCACATATGGACAAGGTACCAAAAACCAAACTCACCACCACATAACAGATGGTGTAACAACACAAGCAATGAACAAAAATGCACATTCAAATGCGTCTTACCCCCCCCCCCCCCTAGAATGCAGAAATAACTATAGTCTGGATCATCAATACTTTAAACATCTCATATTTTAGGTATTGGACAGTTTTTTATGATGCCAATATAGAATATATCAGGTGCACACAACTTTAATGCCGAAAATTAAACTCTTTCATCATTCAAATATAACACTTCTTTTCCTGAAACTGGAAGTGACTATAATTCACCTGAACAAACGAATAATTGCCAATGCGGATAATTCTCCCGTCACGAATAGCCATGGAATCAGCAAAAAGAAGAGATGAATCGCTAGTGTATATCGTCCCATTGGTCACCAACAAATCAGCAGCAATTCCTGAAGTGGAAGAAAATGTTGATGGCAACCACCATAACCGGTTCCTCCATCTCCATTCATCTGTAAGAAAAAAAAAAATTGCTCATAATACGAATTAACACTGAAAAACAGGAGATATGGACATAAATTAATGAAATTGAAGATTCAAACAATATTTAACTGTGATCGTTGCGAATATGAAGTGAGAGTAGCAGAGATAGAAGAAGAACGAGTGAAGCTGAGATGACGACACAAGCATTCATGGCGTCTCGTTGCTTGGAATCTCGTTGCTTCCTCACTCGATGATACTCTTCTACTGGAATCTTGTCGTCAAACGTTTGATTCAGATAATATCGGTTAGTCGGTGATTATCCGGACCCGGACCAATCACCATTTACCCACCCGACCCATATCCGAGATATTCAAGATAGGGTTGTTAACAAGTGAATCGAGCCGGTATGGTTCGAGAAAATAATATTAAGGGGGAGTTTTGGGTTGCTTAATTAAAGTATTTATTAATTTATTTCGGTGTAGTATCAGCAGTAAAGAGCTTTTTAGTGTTTTATTTATATCGATTTGACATCTGTAATAAGAAATTTCTGATAAATTATGGGTTGTCCGATGGTGGCTTTATGGGTTGTATAGCTTATATGGCTTATTCGCTCAGACATAAATAACCGTTCGCGTGTGGCTTATTCTGTCAGCCGAGAACTTAATTGCTCGGCTTGAAACATTCACTCCTAGTTCTCCAATGATCACCTAGCCTCATTCTCTGATCGGCCAGACCCGTTCTCCAGTTGTATCTTGGTTCTCTGTCGAAAAGACCAACCGTCTTCTAGCCTCATTCTCTGGTTGGTCAAGCTCATTCTCCAGCAGTATTTGGTCGGTCAGGCTTGTTCTCCGTCGAGAACATTCGTTGTCCTGTTCACTTTTCGTTGTCTCCCCCCCCCCCTTTACTTGCTTCAAGTCATATATTTGGAGATGAAATGGTTTGGAATTGGTTTTTAATAAACTTTTAAACTGGTATGTTTTATCATTCAAGTCATTCATTTCGTATCTTTATAAGACAAAAATATACATCAGGGTTAAATAGTCATTTATGATATTCAAACTGTCTATTCAGCACAACAATCGAACAACAATTTATCTGTTGTCATACAAACAACTTTTATGAATGCAGGTCTTAATGGAAAACTAACCGAACAACCCCTTAATCTCTTCTAATTTATTTAATACAACTTATCAGTTTTGGAAACCAAATTATTTTTTTACTATTTTCTTTGACCCTAAAAAAACCTATCTAGTTCATTCTATTCATCTCGTTTGCAATATTTCTCCTCATCTCCTATCTTCTGCACGATTCTCTCATCAATCCTAAACACCCCCTTAAGCTCGAGCTCCAATTTTGTTTCAAAATTGTGCTTGAGCTCGAACTCAATTACATTGTACACATTCGTACTCGTTTTTTAAGTTACATATATGACTTGAAAAGTTCATGTGTTTATAAGCTTGAACTCGAGATCAATTAAACTCATTTATTGGTTTGAGGCGGACGAGCTCATTTAACAACTTGAGGTCGAGTTTGATTAGCTCCTGTAACAATTCAAGCTCAAAACTTATTTATATATAAATTGGGGTTTTAAAAATATGATTTTAATAACTTATATTCTTACAATATCATGAAATAATAAAAATAGGTCATTTCATAGTCTATAAGTAACAACATGCTTTTTGAAGTCTAGCGTAAAGAAAATTAGGAAGAAATATAATGTCGGGAAATAAAGTACAATCTTTTTTTGAAAGACAATAGCATTAAGAAAAACAAAGAAGCATACACTGCATCAAATAAATCTATGAGGAGAAGATTTTCGATTAAAAAAAACAAACCAAAACAAGATCATAAAAAACGAAAACACCACCCAAAAAAAAAAGACAAAGCCAAGAAGGGCTCATGGAAGTGGTTTAGGAGAGGACTTTAGAATCGGATGCACTCACCCAGCGAGAAAGGCCCTGACCTTGCCAACCAAGTCAAAATAAAAAAGAAGAGAACTTCGTATTTTGGTAACTCTCTAGAATTAAACCACATGCTCCACCGCTTGTGCAGGCCCCCATCAAAATCAATAGCATTTCGTCGGAATACATCCTGTCTTTTCACCTTAGTAGTCCTATGCATAGTCAGTAACCTTTACCACAAGTGGCTTGCCATAGAGGCTAGGGTTGTCTGCCTAGCTCGACTGAAAGGAGAGGAGGCGCCTAAATGAAAAAACGTGTGTGCCGATTTAGCTTTCCCGTCATAACACTTCTCCTTCCGACTTTCCAGCACTAGGTAGGTGTCAGACTTTATACATCGTGATTGAACCCAAACTCAAAGGAGGACCACAAGCTCGAGGGATTAAACAAAGGCCCAGTAATGAAAAACAGTTTGATTAGAACAAGTTGGTTTGAAGGAGAATTAAACCATGTTGTCTGCAAAATTGATTGATTCTTATAACTCATTTAAGATCATTTAACTAAGGGTTTGTTTGGTTTGCAGGGTATTTTTGAGGGATTTGGATTTCATGGAGGGGTTTGGATTTGGAGGGATTTGAAATAATTGGTATGTTTGGTCCGTAGGATTTGGAATGAAATTGAATTCTATTATTTATAAATGGATTATTATAAAAAAAATGTTTTTAACATTTTTTAAAACCTTATTTCATACAATCCTACGAAATCCCATGAAATCCCGAGCACCCTCTATTCAAAATCATATGTTTGTAGGATTTCAAATCCGGAATATCCAACAAACCAAACATGAGATTAGAATGGATTAAATATCCAAATCCCCTCAATTCCATAAAATTTTCGCAAACCAAACGGGACCTAAATGATTTGAGATTCTCCACATGACACAAGAAAGGGTCGCATTGAGAATCGGGGGCTACAAACGGCTCTTACCACGATAAACGTTTATCGGGTAAATTAATGCATACAATGTCTTTTTGGTGAACTAAAATCTTACCCGGTAAGTAAATAATAGTATTAAATTTTAAAGTCTACTTCGTTTTACAAATCTTTAGACAATAAAGATACTTAAATATGTGAAAGATAACGTTTCGAAGTGATCAAAAGTCATATAACTACCACATATGGGTTCGATCCTCCAAACCATGTGGCACAAAGAACAAGGAGGGAAAGGATTGAATTGACAGAATTTCCCATCATACAAAAAAGAATGAACAGAGGTTTGTTTACCAAATACTCATCTGACAAGTGCTTACTGATAAAATTTAACACTATTATTTACTGACAGGGTAAAATTTTAGTCCACCAAAACGACATCGCATGTAATAGTTTACACGGTAAGCGCTTACCGTGGTAAGAGTCGTCGCTCTCATTTACCGGGTAAAACTTTTGGTCTTTGTCTCGCTTTTACCGGGTAAGATTCTTGGTCCGTACCATATTCATCCGGTGAGGTAATTTGACTTGATAAGCACTTACCCATGGCAAACGGCCCCTAACAAATTGTGTTTAAGGGATCTAATGCAAATTTCAACAAACCCCAAGGATCAAATATGTAATTCACTCTTGCATTAATGATAACTCCCACAAAGATCCAACCAAGGATTAAAATCAACTTATAAAGTATACATCAACTAACCCAGATTCTTTCACGTTACTAGTCTGGACCATGACTGGTTAGGGAAGAACATGTTCAAGGGTATGGGAGGTTAAACCAGGAGTCCGAGACCGACCCGTTAACCGTTTTTACCAATCTATAAACGCGATCGTTATAAATGATCATATAAAGGGTAAACATCAAAATGCAGAAAGTATATTAAAAAGTTGATTAAGAACACACCCATCTCCATCTGCATAGCGTACAAATTACAAATGCAATCATTAATCATCCAATTCATTCCTTTCTACTACTGCTGTGCACTGGAGATAACAAAATGATCACCCTACAAGTACAAACTATTCTTCTATCACATACCTGCCTGCATCTCCACTTCCCAAATGAACTCTAAGATCCCCATCCCGATTTCGTCTTGCTGCTAGATCCCGCCTGATTCCACCCCGAGGCAGAACCTGCCCCACCCTCTTCCGCTCCCGCCTGATTCCATCCTGAAGCAGCAGGTGCCCCACCCTCCTTTGGTGCCATTGTGCCGCTAGATCCTGCCTGATTCCAACCCGAACCAGCCGCCGCCCCACCCTCCTTTGGTGCCACCGCGTCGCTAGATCCCACCTGATTCCATCCGGAACCAGCTGCCGCCCCACCCTCCTTTGGTGCCACCATGCTGCTAGATCCCGCCTGATTCCATCCTGAACCAGCCGCCGCCCCACCCTCCTTTGGTGCCACCGTGCCGCTAGATCCCGCCTGGTTCCATCCCGAACCAGCAGCTGCCCCGCCCTCCTTTGGTGCCGCCGTGCCGCTAGATCCCGACTGATTCCATCCCGAACCAGCAGCTGCCCCGCCCTCCTTTGGTGCCACCGTGCCGCTAGATCCCGACTGATTCCATCCCGAAGCACCAGTTGCCACCCCACCCTCTGGTACAGCTGTGCTCGAATCCTTGTTCCACCCTGATACAGGTGTTCCAGCCTCCTTGTTCCACCCAGACACAGGTGGCGTTCCAGCCTCATCTGCCGCCACGTTGGACTCACGGTTCCACCCCGATTGAGAACGAGGGGTCCCAGCTTCATCTGCCGACTCACGATTCCATCCTGACCGAGCCCGAGGGGTACCGGCTTCATCACTGGAGTCACGTTTCCACCCCGACTGAGAACGAGGGGTCCCAGCATCTTCTGGACCACCCGAGCCACGCTCTCTATTACCAGCAGGACGAGGCTGAGGCTTCTTGAAATATTTGGGCATGAACTCATCCACTTTGTCGGGATATTTTCCCCTCACAAAGTTCTCCAGACATTTTCGGTACGAAAAATCTTCTTTGCGCCCATCTGTCGACACAACGTAAAAACACCGACTTTCTTGGAACTTCATATGCTTAGTCACCTACAATGTAAACAGCTAAATATATGATCACAGCCAAAATTCATATAAATTGGGAATCCAATGCAATTGATACATCAAAGATACACCAAAACGTAACCAGTATATCCTATTCAAAGGTTGGAGGGTTTTTCCTTTTTTTTTTGGTTTAA